TTGTTTACAATATAGGGCATTTCGAGAGCGTATCCGATCCAATTCTGAATATCAGACCCAACGTTGCCTAACTGGCCAGATCAGATGGCATAGCGTACTTTTAATGCAACCCTTCAAAATCGGACGAGTTCTCTCATCAAATAAGCAAATATTCGGTTCTGCTGTGTTTGGATTTTTCTCAGCCCGCGATATGTCAAAAAAAAACAAAGAAGTAAACAAATAAACAACTGTGGGGGAAGTACTTACCAGATCTGCATTTGTATGCCGTTTAAATTGAGAATTCTTCATGACGATACGAGGTTGATCATCATCTTCTTCCTCAATCGTCACCTCTGATGCTCCATCGAATTTGTCTTTGATAATCATACCAATCTCCCTGAATCTCAATGATTTTTCCTGTGGACCAAGATGTTCACTGAGAGACTTACCTGAATGTTGGTAATGTATCCCAACAGGTTTTAATTTCACATGAACCACTCATTCCATGGCATTTACATTCACGTCGTAGACTCTTCTCAAGCACCTGAAGGATTCTGAGTCAGTAGATTAAGGGAAAAGCCACAGAGAGCTTCTGCTTGACGAGTTGAGGCGGATTTGCAAGGTTTTTCATTTTTAGATATAATCTTAAGTTCAATCCCTATGGCCTCATCAATATTTGTTAGAATTTCTGCTCCCAGCCCTGTCTCTCGTCCTTTTGTCTCCCCTCTGTCCCCTTATCCACTGCTTCAATTTAAAATCATCCGAGAGGGAAACATGGGATCATCCTTACTGTATGTAAATCACTGAAAACGTTTCGGTTTAAAAGTAACTTCAGGGACAAAGGATCCTATCATTGCCCGAGCTTGGGTTATTTTGGACAGAGCACTTTTATCTATGCTCAAATAAGCGTCACTCTATCAAGACCCAAATTTAGCTGAGAAATAAAAGTAATCAGTATCGTCCGAGAACTGGTCACAGTCTGGGTTCACATGAACCCAAAAATTCCAAATTTAGTGACGAAAAATCAACAATTTGGGCCTTTTTCCACGATATCGCCGCCTTTATGGGGCAGTAAAATCTCTGACAGATTCATAAATTTCTGATTGATCTAATGCCGATCGGGCATCGATTCGATAAGGCCTTTGATGGGTTGCCACCTGATTTGGACCGAAAACCGTCGTGTAACTACGTTCTGAGGTCAACTACGTACTGGATCGAAAGAACGGTTTTTTCCTTGGCTGTTATAAGTGAGAAAGATAAATGGCCGTGTTTTTCACCGGAAGTGTATAGTAATGTGTCCAATACTCCACTTGGAAGTCGTTACCGAACTTCCTTCCCTCATTGGGCGGAGTTTCCCACCAGTGAGTTCCCTGACACCGCCAGGAAAAATAGAAAGGCAAGATAATGTCTGGTTGGAATGCACTTAGACAACCAGAAAAAATAAATAAACAGATGAATTGTTTGTCTTATTCGATGAGCCAATCAATAGTGGAAAAATGAATGTTTGTATAGGTCGATCAACGAGGCACCACGGGATGCGCCATGTATTTGACTCCCAATCAAAAGTTGAATCATTGTTGACCGGTGCACTGGCTTGCAGAGGCATACGATGGAATTTTGAGAGATTTTTCCTCTTTACAAACTCGTATCGCTTGACAAATTTCTCGGTCCGGGGCCCGATGGCTCAGGCCCGCCCAGATGAACGGACCATACTTGGGATGGGGCCTACTTGCTATTTTCATGAGCTCAACACCTATTACTACTAAAACAACGGCCAATACCTCGACTACATCGTAGAATCCGACTAATCAGATACGAAGAATGAGATATTTGCCATTCTTCAGGTTGTTATCAGCAGATTTCCTGTCGAAACGTATTTTTTTCCGAGGGCTTAACGAACAACTGGCTCTTTTCGTTGTGAATTATCAGAGAAACCAAGACAAATGAACAGATTCACAAGTGATGGCCGTCTGAATGCTGTCGTAGGCTATCGGTCACATGGCATTTGTAATCTCCTGAAGAATTTGCATGCCCTCATTATCGGTACAGGAAAACAACTTGTTTTTGAGTGACAATATTTCTACTTCCTCACAGCTGCCACTGCCATGTTCAACATTGACGGAAGGAAAACAAAACCGTGGATGTCTAGCAGAAAAAGAACTGATCAACAGCGGCATTTGGCGTCCGGACCTGGCAGGACGTAGGGGTTCTGGCACAATTTCAACCCCAATTTCTTTCACTTCAAGATATCAGAGTTCTGAGCATTTGGGGTGGCATTTCCGGATTCTGGTAGAACCTACTCCAACGCGATGTTACCGATCGGCATCAATAATCATCAAGTATTCTCTGACATATATGACGACACTGAGGACTGTGAATTAGATGCATACCAAGTGGTCCTTTTAAGAATCATACGTCCGTGCCAGAATCAGACAGCCCTTCTCGCCTATTTGTTTGTTTGACAGCAGAACTCCCTCGTCTGTAGTAATCACTGGTATCAAGATGAGAAACAATGAATGCTTCAGAAGTGATCAAACTCGTGTTGAATGCCTCATACTCCAAAGAGTCAAGTTAACTCACACTACTACCNCGTCCGTGCCAGAATCAGACAGCCCTTCTCGCCTATTTGTTTGTTTGACAGCAGAACTTCCTCGTCTGTAGTAATCACTGGTATCGAGATGAGAAAGAATGCTTCAGAAGTGATCAAACTCGTGTTGAATGCCTCATACTCCAAAGAGTCAAGTTAACTCACACTACTACCTCTCGTATCCGGTTACGTTGTCCAACGAGTCTATCAGGAAGAATACCGACTGGAAACAACATTACTATTTTATAAGGTGTCGGGTGCAAGGCTCAATCTTGTAAAGTAAATATCCTGACCATCTCAACATGACCGCATTTTTTTTGTAAACACAACACTTCAGCTTTGTTGGGTCAAAGAATATGGTATTACTGTAACTGCATTTCTGGCTTATCCAAATTAAGTGAAAATGGCCTCGTTACTATTCGAAAAGCTTCCTTCATCAAGACTGACCTGTCGCCCAGCTCTGTTATTGTGTAGATTCAAAATTGCCCTCTGGGTAGCATTTCTGCCTCGTTCGGCTGCATCAACGAATTCTCTCGAAATAGCGATGCCGTATTGAACGTTGTCCGAGCATCCCTGATAGTCGTAGGTGCGGACCTGAATCATCCAGCAGTCGTCAGTCAATTGGCGAGATCCACTGCTGCCGGGCGCTCCTGTTCTGATGATTAACCACCACTCACCTGAGGATCGATGTTCAGCATCGATTGATCGCATCCGCATCGTTCGTTCAACCCCCGGGCGCAGTCTCGCGTTACCCTGAAATTGAACTAGCTCAATGGGAGGTACCCTATCAGGATAACTAAAAGAGCTACTTACCGGTATGCGACTCCAGCCGCTGACACTGCATGAACAAAGGCTGATTCTCGGGTTCCATCGCGTAGCATCACATCACTTATTAATTCCAAAGTGGTGGGGTCTATGAGGGTGCAGTTCCACCTGAATAGTGTGGCTACCTCGACGAGTGTGGGTACGATCGGTACTGAACCACAACCTACCTCCTCTTGTTGAATTGGTACTGACATTCGGCATAAGCGTTCTGGGCCCCGTATCGTACCGAATCCATCATATCCGGGTTTTTTCGACAGAATCTTTAATTTTTTTTTTTGGTAAATGCAAAGCAGAAGGAGTTTTTGCGATGAGTAGAAGATACCGGTAAAAAGAAAAACTCCGACCTTATCTGCTTTTTCGTCAACCCTTTCATATTCTTGCATGAGTAGGCGATTCTGGATCGATCGAGGCGGTTGCCCGCAAGCCCGAGAGCCCTAAAAGAATAAAGTCAACCAAAATTGTAAAATATGGTCTCAAGTGGAGAACCCTGGGAGCGATCTGACGTTGACGGGTAGTCGAGATGGTAACGGCGATGGGAACAAGGTCAAGCATGGCGTTAATGAGTGTTCACCATTTCGAATCAGCACTTCCTAGTCCCTAACTCTCTCAACCCTTCCCCTTCATGAGCAGGGTCTTATTCGTTCATCCCCCCCCCCCCCCCCCCCNATCCCCCCCCCCAACCCCCTTGAAAGGGTGTCACATCGCGGCCTTCACGGTTTCCCTTCTATTATCACCTTTCTGTACTTCACCACTACTAACGACCGGTAGAAAAATGTAAGTGGATAAAGTGAGCTACTGCTTCTTTCTGGGATAATCATGACCTCCCTTTAGCCAGTAACCCTGGGCTTAGGCTTGATCTAGGATAAGAAGGACAGGGAATCACCGCTCTGAAAAGCGCAAAGAGGAACGGCCTCATTTGCTCACTGGACGGTTTTAAACCCCAAGGAAAAAAATTACTAAAAAATCTCGGATAGCAATTGGATGAAATCTCAGAGCTTTCTTTTATCTATAAGGGAGGTCTAGTACTTTCGAGATACAAATGGTAGCAGAACTTACAGCCAGTGAATGCTGGCGCAGTATTGGACGAACAGGAAACAGAGCAGAAGTGTGTTCCAGAATCGCATTGCAGACGTCACAGAATCATATCGTTGACGACGACCGACGAATCGCACGACAAAGTAATTGAGCACAACACCCGGCGAAGGTACTCGTAGATAACCCGAAAATCGACTAAAATTTGAAAATTTCGAACGAAAAACGAGTATGAGTAGCGGCGAAGCATGTGCTACGAGATTAATCCACAAAACAATCGCTAGTAAACAATTGTAAGCAAATGAAAAAGTGGAAAAACGTTCAAATGAAGAACATCGATCCATAAGGTGATAAAAGAAAGAGCAAAGCTCCAGGGTACGGAAAAATGCTTTATTTTGAGAACGTTTCTTCAACTACTGCGTTCGATTAAAATCGGTCCCAAGATCCCCATATTATCATCGTTCCCTGGGCAACCTTCTGTCACAGTTTCTTCTCGATAGGGAGTGGGCGTGTATAAAAAACCAAAACCATAACAAAATGAATTGTTTATTTAAATAAAACACATTTTAGTTAATCCTACAGCCTACGTGCCAACATGGGAGCAACTTCAAAACTAAGATGAATAAGTTAAAAATGCGTATATCACCGCAATTCTGGGAGGTTAATCCTAAAAAGATGTGCCTGTGTTCACCAAAGCTCTGTCGAAGCAGGATTCTGCGAAAGGTATTCATTAAGTGGTCAAAAGGGCTGTAGGGTTGAAGCAGTCGCTATTTTCGCTCAGGGACAAAAATAAAGGCAAGAAAAGTTTGGAAAGAAGAGAGGGGAGGTGAAGGAGGATGAGGAAGTGGGAAGAAAAGAGTTGTACACCATGTGTCATTCCCTTTTTACTTCTTACTACCTACGTGAGAGCGAAGGTGGGATAGTGCCAGGTGGCACATTACCGCACGTAGGGACATGAGATCGAGTTCTGGCTTCCCACCCATATTAGCTTATCAGACTCCAAAGTGGGATGAAATAAGTACCGTGTACAAGTAAAACTTGCCCGGCATTTTCTGTTCCATTTGATTTCCAAGAGATGTTACACGTAAGAATAAACTAGTAAAGAAATGAAAAATATGAACTGTTCTGACTCGCAGATACATTGAGGATGAACAAGGTGTAGGTAAGGCTGTTAATCGTACTTCTGGGGTCAGCACTGAGTTAATATCTGATAAGTGATTTCAGAATCCTATTTGCACATTACTAGGAGGCATCCAAAAGTTTGAATATGCCGGAATGCCTGAAGACAGGATAGATAAAAGCGGTACTACTTTTTTGTTTATGGCCCCGGATCTGTCTAACACTCGGTCATCAAGTCGCGATTTCGCCGAGATTCCTGGCCAGCAAAAACGGAATTTCCAGAACATTCCAATCGGTTCGCACTACCTTCCGAAAATGTCTAGAGGAAGGATTGAAAAAGAACCGTTCTTGAAAGCATGATGCAGTCGTTTACCTCCATGGAGGTTCGAATTCGACTAGAAGACGAACTGGGAAGGGTCAAATGGGAATCGAAGCTGCATGTTGCGAGTAATACGCTTCGTCGTCGTCGCCGTGCGTCGTAAGATACGGTAGCTGGTGACAGCTGACGAGCCACGAAGGCGCTGAGTGGGAAAAACGCGGCACGCGCTCGCACGACTACAGTAATTCATCATTCGAGCGATGTCCGAGTACGAAGCACGACTGGCTCAGTGTAGAAAGTTAACGAATGAGTGGACCGAACAAGGCAAATAGGGTACATTACTTGTAAGTAAGAGTAAACAGAATGAGGTGAGATCAAGCTCCGCTCTCTGGGTCCAATCTTATCCAAGCGGAAAGAGGAAAGGGGATGTTCACTGACAGGTTGTTCACTCTGGCAGCATATGGCATAGAAACTAGAAAGTAAATAAGAGAAAGGGAAGATCAAATCAATCAATCAGAGATGCATGGACGATTATACTACGTTGATAGCTTGACAATGATCCTAAGACAGCGGTAGGATTTCCTAAGAAGCAGAGGGAAGGCCATAAATGAACAATGGTTGGCCGGCCTTCGACAAACAAGATTTCTCGAGTGGGTTTGGAAATCTGCTCTGAGTGAACGCCCATTTAGGGCTTACTCCTGTTTCCCTCGATTTCCAGTAAAAAGTTCTTGCCTATATTCCCTCGTAATTTCATCAGGCATGCGAACAAGAGCGCTACATCCAATCATGCATTATGAAGACGTGCAAGGAAAAGAAAGAGGTGATGCTAGAAAATAAACTCGGTAGAAGAATAAAAAAATAAAATAAAATAGAATGAAACAAATTATTTCTAGGGACCGAGTGGTTTGGAAGGCTCAACGTTCATTCTTGCCACGGAAGGAACTCCCTACCGTTATCCTACGGCTTCCGAAAGAATCAAACAATACCGTTACTTACTAAACTGTGATACAAAATTGTAGTAGTGCCTGAGTATTCATTCGGGCTATACATTGGCTAGGTGAGGTCAAGTAAGTTCGAACGTTGAAATCTTTTTGCATTTTCAGTAATTAACGAGTACTCCACTTCACCCATACTGGCTAGATGGGACAATTTCGTTCAGAGACCCGATCCTTGGACCGCTTTCAAAATGATAGGCCATTCATCAGTTCATCCAAAAAAGCCTGTTCTATATGATCTATTCAACCTATGCAATTACTTTTTTCTTTTAATTGGTTGCTATTTTTAGCCGATGATGGCATTTATCATCAGCAACAGTGGAAGAGCTTCAGGGAACGACCATTAATCAATCGAAAGCGAGAACTTTCTCTGGCCACGTTGAAGAATAAGAGGATTCTGCTCAAGAACATATGTACGTGCTGTTATTTCATGAGAATGTAGGAACAAATGTTTTCTACGACAAAAAAAGAACGCCAATAAATTAATGGCTGTGGTCAGACAGATTACGGTACCTCCAGAAGTTGCAATGTTCTTTGAAGCTGCAATGCAACACTGCTCACGGGGGTACGGTATCCTCTCAAACTGCACTTAACTATTTTGGCATCAGCCTTACTTTCATTAGCGAAATTTCGCATCTGGGCAGCGGAATCCTAGGGAGATCTACTTTCTCAAACTCGTTGACTTTCAAATCATACCCCATCAGAATAAAAATCGTTGTATTTACAATAACAAATGTAAGGGGAGCTAAAAAAATTTCCCTATGCCCATGTGGAAGTAAGGTAACGAATGACGGACGCCCAGTATCAATCGGCTGACTACAGTAAACGAACTATGGCGAGCATGACATGCTACTCTGATAAAACATGACATAAACCAGAGTTTTCCCAAGATGTGACACTGTTTGTGAGGTTATGCCCCATCATTCCTTCTGCACGAATTCCAGATAACATTAAATACTTACCGAAGCATGTCCAGCTTCATTCTGAGCATTAATGCGAACTTCACCTCAAGTCCCCCTCAGAAGCTCACGATTTTCGGGAACAGCGGTATGGCGAGTCAAGGAGTGATGAGCTGTGGCAAGGGAGCATTAATAAGGAGCAACCTCCTACTACCTAAGGGTGCACTACGAGTTGCATGAACGGTTATGAGTTATTCTCAGTCAATGAAACTGCTTCGATGACGAAGTCTAAACAATTTAAAAGAGATTTTCGAGTGCACGAATCAAAAACACACCTACTCTCGTCCCTTGATTGCCTTACTAAGTCTTTCATTGAACACACAATTATTTCTGTGTAAGAACTTCAATATACGATAGAAAGAGGAGATAGAATGCATGATTTCCTTTTCTGAGAGGTTCTTCACTGGTTTAGACTGCGGGTTCGAGCTGGAACTCATGACCCTAATCGTCACCTTCCACTCGAGGTCCTCCACCATAAATCTACCCAATGGAACATTTCCTTTATCATTCCAATCTTCAGGTTGGAAAAGAAGTAGCACTGTCATTCTTATGAACAAATACTATGCACAACACCAGGGGAATAGATCCTCTATGGAATATGATCTCCGATCGAACCCANTCATTGAACACACAATTATTTCTGTGTAAGAACTTCAATATACGATAGAAAGAGGAGATAGAATGCATGATTTCCTTTTTTGAGAGGTTTTTCTCCGGTTCAGACTGCGGGTTCGAGCTGGAACTCATTACCTTAAAATACCTTCTACTCGAGGTCTTCCACCATAAACCTACCCAATGGAACCTTTCCTTTATCAATCAAATCTTCAGGTTAGAAAGGAAGTAGCACTGTCATTCTTATAAACAAATACTATCCTCAAGATCAGGGGAACAGTTCCTGGATTATGATCTCCGATCGAACCCACCAGGCCGTCTCTTCCACTAGGAATAGTAAGTTGTTACCGAACTGTTTAAAATGATGAATATGCCCACTTGTCCACAAACTAATGATAATATCCGATACCCGCTAGTAATCATGTGGGATTGATATACATATTTGAAAAGATATCATTACTAATTCGCATCTACTCAGTAAAATTGGCAGTACCTACACCCACATTTGATCTTTCACCCTGACCAATTCCCACTTCCCCTGCCTGCATTGTATTTGAACATAGTATGATGAAAAGATCGGGAAAATAAACTAAATAGCTGACCAAAAGGCCGGTCAAAAGGTCCAAGCTCGTAGGGAAATGCACCTCAAACAAACAAGCAATCTCAAAAAAGACAAGCAAAAGCTAGGAAAATGTAGAATAAACAAGTAGCAATATTTGTAAACAGATAACGGGAAAGTAAACCACAACAAATACGCTCTCTTGAACAAAAGAAGAAGTAGCAAGAGGGTAGGAGAGCGGATGGAGGAGAGGAAACGAAGAGCAGTGCATCGTTGACGGATTTTCTGGGGCGTGGTGCTGCCGTTGGCGCTTGCTGTTCCTCTAGAGAGGCGCGAGCACAAGGGGGGCAATAAATGGTCCCAGCTCGACTGGGCCGGCTGATTTACGGCGTGCCGTTTACAAGCGCCTTTGTTTTGAAACTCGAAGCCCGACCAAATCATCAGGTCACGACAGACCTCCCACGAACCGTCATGTTAAATCCCAAGTACGCCAAACAAAATTTTCTCGGGTAACTAAAAGGGGCTAGAGAACCTTGAACTTTCGAATTTCTGTCTAAAAGATAGCAATTTATTTTCTCAATGCCATAAACGAATCAACATCAGTAAATTTGGTATAAGGCTAATCAATAAATCAATAAATATCATTTTGGAATACTGAAAGACGGAAGAGCAGAACATCACATTGAGGCTGAAAGACTAGAAACCATGACACATCGAGGAGACTGTTGCTAGAATCGGCGAGCATCCAACTCAGTCCTGTCCCAGATGGGCACTACCCTGAAGTGGCTGTGATACAAAATCATCGATTTTTTGCGGAAATAATCCAAATTACCTTCGTTTTTCGATTTCCAATGAATGAAGATCAGATGGGTTGAAAAGGCGTTCAAGTCGCCGTTGAGCAGGGCCCCGATTGCCGGCACCAGGAGAGTTTCGTTCCACTTCGGTTGGAGGCTAGGAAAAGATCAAATAAGGAGGTCCATGTAAGCCAAAAGAATTCTGACTGTCACTCACTTGATGCTTCCTTTCGCCTGTACCGAACAGCGAGTTTCGTCGATTTTCAAGGGCCCGGATGGTGCCCTTGGTGAGGGTGACACGTCGTCGACTACCCCGCGTCGAAAAATCGGCACCATCTTGTGTTGCCTCACTGGAGAGTGCGAAGAATCTGTAAAGCATCGCCCTAGACACTCGCGACAGTTGCGCATTCGAGGGATACCCGGTTGGTGGTGCCCATTTTCCTATGGGTACATAGCCCAGGAATTACCTCTTCTTGAAGGCAGCATCCAATGTCTCCGTCTTGCGTTTCATGAGTGAAATCCGTGACGATTCCAGGTTCTGTACCACTCGACGGCGTCCTATTTGCTCTCCCTGAAATGAAGCTTATTTTCCGAAGATTCAGGCCCTACCATACATGGGATGGGACTGGAGTGGGAGTGCGGCCACACCTGATCAGGAAAACACAGTCTGATCGATCTGCTGAATTCTGAATTGCTCACTACTATCGAGCTTGTCAAAAATAGTAAAAAAGAATCCAGAAATAGCCGATCTACTCCCGATCGACCCAGCCATCCCGAATCGATTCGTCTACCCGCCTGCATCCTATTTATCACCACTGCATGCTATGAAAAATGACTTACCATCTGCCCAAGTTCCCTTGACTCATCGACACCACGAATCGCCTGCAGTTCCCGAGCGATTTCCACGGCATTTTGGATGACTAGCTCCTCCTCGCTCAGCTTTCCTACAGTCTTTCGGAAACAGAAAAGTTCCGTTGATGCAATTATATGTGCCATAGTACCGAAACGATGGCACAACATCGCAATGAACTGAAAAAGAGAGTTTGACATAAAAATATCATTTCTGGTTTGAATTCATTGTTACTTTGTACTTCTGTAGTGTGTGGGCTTCCCCCGTATTCCCTCGGCAAGTGGCACGGGGCTTCACGGCGTTACCGTACACTTCTAGTGGAAAATCGAACCATTCCTTTCTTAGCGCGCGATTGCGCGCGGTTGGATGCGGCGAGCGTGACGCGATTTTCGGGGAGAAGTTACCACATCCGGTTTGCGCACAGCTATCGGATTGGCGTAGTTGTCTGAGGCGCTATATTATTCCAGATATCAACGGATTCCCTATGAATTTAAGCTGAATATAATAAAGACCTTCCTGCTTATTTACCGTTTCCATTCCCATTGGTCTCCTTGATCAACTTCGTTTCATACACCCATAATCGAGAAGAAAATCTCAGACTTCTCCTGGTTCCACTGTAGTACCCTCAGAGGTTGTATTGTTGGAAAGGGATAAAGCTTATGAATGAACAAAAATAGCTCGTACCACAAGGTTTAGAGCTATGGTTTTGACATAAAAAGGGAGAAAGCGTTTCTGCCTTTGACATTGATCAACTAACTTCTTGGCCCAATATTCAGATTCCAGAGCTAATAATAATTTCCTCATGGACTGTGGGTATTTTCTGGCAAAAACTCCCAAGACAAAGCTACGTTTGGGCTTTGAGAGTAACGTAAACCTTGTGAGTTACTTACCTGAATAATTAGGATACTCATGAAGAAGATGAGAAAGACGAAACCAAGCGGTTCTAGTTGTAATCGTGTCACCACCCAAATCTCCTGAACATTAAGTTTGGTGTTTCTCGATCAAAGCAGCCATAAACCTTTCAATTTGCACTTTTGAGGTATCTAGGTTTCTAGGTTTTGAAGTTCTGATATCGAGTAAATAGTTAGCTTTTTTATTGTAATTATTTCTTGTTTTTTTTTTGAGTAGTAAAAATCAAGATGGTTGGCTCCAATTACCTCTTTGGTATCGCCATGACAAGGTCGAACAGTGTGATTGAATTTTGGCCCAATTGGCCATTCGATATGAAGACAATCCTTTTGTAATTGTAATACCAAAATAACAATTATGAATACCACGTTCACCATGAAGAACGACGATACAACCTTAAAATGGGAATTGATGGAAAAGGTTATTTGGGAACCGCCTATTTGGCTGAGGGGAACGAACTTTGTTTCTGAGTTCAACCAGTGCAGCTCGAACTCGTTCTTGCTCTTTGGGATCAACTGTCAAAGGTGACAAGTATTTCTCGATTACATCCATCCAAAAATGCTCCTCATCCGGATCGATCACTTCAGACTCGGCTCTGAAAGTGCCAAAACTTATTTAGAGCGCTGGTGAGGTGAAAGTTATTTATATTTGGTGAAGGAAATTATATTAAATGATAAAAGCACATAATTGAAGAAGTTATGAATGAGAAATGACGAGAAATTATGAATCATCAACTTTGTTATACGCTGCGAATTGATATTGCAATGATGGTATTCATGATATTATGTTGGCTTCCTGGTGTGAAGATAATGTTATGTATTGGATGATAGAAAGTTGTAACGGTTGATAAAAGTTGATAAGAGGTGATAGAGGGGTAGTATTCCTAGTTCGCCATGGACCTATCTTTGACAATGGTTGTGCTTATAAATGTTATGAGGGGCGAAAATGAAATATTCATGTGGGAGGAAAGAAATCGAGATCAGCTGATAAAGATTTATTGTTTTGTAATCAAAAACCAGGCACCATTGAATTCTTCTCCCTTCTGGTAAAGTGTTTCAATAAGTGAAGAAAAGTTGGAATTAATGGAAGGAAATGACACTATTGATAAATGATGTCAACTTTGATGATGGACCTAATGCCCCACGAGTTGTCGGCTTGATTTTTGGGGGCTCACCGCTATGTCACGCTTTGCTTTACTATAAACCAGTCTGAGTTCTTGTGACAGAAGCCACCGAGAGCGTATCTGTTGAAGTGAAACAAATGGGAATACCTTCTCAGCGCCTTGTCATGAATCCAACTTCGATGTCTGATCAGTTTCGTAGCGGACATCTGACTTGGAAGTTGTAGCTCGGGATCATCCTCACCCTAAACAGTCGACTTCCTTCTTTGGATTGCTATAGTGAGTACAATTCAAGGTGCAATCGATTACCTGGTCGTCTTCCACAATTTCTCCAGATTTCTCAACAACAACACCTCCAGATGACACAATTGACGCTCTGATTAAAAAAACATTTCAGGGGCTTTGTTTTTGTTTTCGTTATTGTCTACTGCTACTTGCCCTTAACTCACGATGGGATTGTGGTCCCAAGGCAGGTTGGAAAAAAGGATGGACCCAGAATGGGGCTCAAATCCACACTCACGTCTCTCCTGACTGCTTGAATCAATACTTTCGAAAGTTAGTCTAAGAGTTCGACATTGTTCGTGAAATGCCAAGCCCCTTTCGAACATTTTCTCTCCCCGAGCAAAAGAACTGCGTACCCATTGTAAAGGTGTAGATTGTCGGGTTCAACTTGATTAGCAAACTTTTTTTGTAAGACACAGTATACATGAATTTACAAATGACTGGATCACCCATATGGTATAGGTACCTGCGTGTTAGTCCGGGCTGTTGCTTTCTTTCGATTCGTTCCAGTTTCTTGTTGATTTCATTCAGTTTGTCATTGATTCGCCAGATCTGGAAAGTCAGCAAACACTCGACAGAAAGAAAAATCCTCGGAGGCCGTCTGAGTTCTCTTGTCCCTAGTGGAAGAGCCCAAGCTCTCAAAATTGCCTACACGAACTCTTACCTGTGGAGATGACTCCAGCTGATCGGGCTTCAGGCAACACAGTAGGCGACAAGCACTTCCACAGCCTATCGACCAGTCTCCATCGACCTGAAAACCGCGCTATACAATGGCCAAAGAACGAGATCAGATTTGATACCTGAGCTTCAGCTCCATTGTTCACCAAATCCAAATGATGTCCTTTCTGCGGTTGCGACTTGGCCAGATCATTCTTCTCCTGCGGCCTTGGATCTTCACGAGTTCCCCAGGATACCTTGAAACCAACTTGGAAGTTAGGTAAAGTTTAAGATCAGAAATCAAATGGATATTACCGTATTCAGATTACAAATAGAGTAGATCGGCAACAGCATGTACATACAGGGGATGGCGAGGAAGTACAGTAATCCTGGGATGATGCAGGTGAATTCAAGCGGATGCAAAATGGCAGCTGTCAGAAAACTGAAATTCATCAGGTTTCGCTAGAAATTTCCACTATCCAGCAGTTCAAGAAAATAAAGTTTACAAAGGTAACAATGGTGAGGTAGCAATTGTAAGAGCTGACAGTGTGAGGAAGGAGGCGTTTCAAGAAATTTAGCCCTTCATGGAATGGAGTTGGGCGACCTATTCTACTAACTCTATTTTTCCGTTCTTCGTTATTCCACTTCCTCCATCAATTACGAGCAGTGTTGATAGACCTGCACTATTCTTTTCACCTTTCCCAGTTCAGACAGTTCCGCCCACTCACCCAATTCAGAGATGACAATTAAGATAGGGTGAATCTGTGGTAATAGGCATAGGATATTTGAAAAAGCCAAAACCAACTGGACTCCCCAAAAACCTGAATATGAAGCAGGACAGAGACCCTTATAACTTAAGTGACAGCGGGGTTGTCGTTTGGTCACGACAACTTGCACATACTCCGAAGGGTTGGTCCCAGGGATGGCCCTGTTCTCGGTATCAACCTATTTTTTTATTTGCTATGGGGTGGAGCAAAAAAAAAATTCCAAAGCTCCGTCACAACTCTTTTAAGGGCCTTTGGCGCCAATCAAATGAAAATATACCTTCCAAATACAGAAAAAAGGAAAATCGCATGTGGTGACAGGATTCCGTCCTTCTGAATCTGAAGCGACGTACCAACGAACACCGCGGTCATCAACATGGCGAACAGAGCTCCAACAATTTGAGCAAAAAGTAGCTTAACATAGAATATGATGTGAGCAATGCAACAAACATGGCCGTGACATACGCGGCTAACAGTATGAGGGTCATAACATGAGGGCACTTCAAGGTATCACCTGTTTCTCGGGTTTAGCTGTCAAACAGACTATGCAAAATGTGGCGACAGGTAGGGAGACGATCAGCAAACTCCAAGTGGTATCGATATTGAACGAGATCGATATTGCTCCAACAACCATCAAAAAAATCGTACCCGGTCCAAGAATTGAGGAGATAAGCATGACCGTTTGGTAGAGGATATACCTAGGTGTAGAAATTAGGATGATCGGCTTTCGGAAAGAGGGATCAGACCGAAGGAGACATACCATATCGATATGCTCTCATTTACTCGAACAACATTTTTATAGTCTTTCAGCAAATCGATAATATTCGCGATGGTCGATGGAATCCAACGTCGTCGTTGATTGAAAAACTCATTGAAGCCTTCAGGAGCAAAAGTGAGGGCATCCGAAGCCGCACAGTATTCTACCCTACAAGTAGAAGCCTCAGTCAAGATGTGACTTTACTATCGAGACCACCGATTCCGTCATACCTATAACCTCTCTGAAGCAGAAGTGTACATAGCCATCTGTCTTCTCCTTGATCGTATTGAATATAATCCAGTGGTTCTTCTGACTTCGAAGCGTACCTATAAATGTATAGTAACGAGTCGTAAGTATCTACACTAATATCTGATTACCGTACTCACTTTCTCGTTACATTATCGTCCATCAAAGCGTAACTTCTGAACAGTGAGAAACAACCTGGCGAACACATTACACATCCAATCATATGTTCAGTGGCTTTCTGAAGCCAATGGCCGATGGCGTATTCGAACTTTTGATACCATACCTTGAAGACAGCGGTTATTTCGAATTTACTAGGGCAATTTTACCAGTCTTGAAAAAAAATTCCAGTTTGTACATCCAGTTGCTTAAAAAAAACCGAAAAAGTGTTTATTCCATGGTGAAAAAGAAGTAAGAAAGTTTCCAATTTCAAGAAACGAAATAATTCTGTTCATTAGACGTGGGGCAGAAAAACCAGATGTGGCTGAATCAGGTCTCGCTCCTGGCTTACTAAAACTACCGGGAAACTGATGACGATTAGCATTAGGAGAGAACTCCAGGAAAACCCTCTACTGTCTTCCTCAGTTTATTCCATTGGCACGCAGAAAAAGCAAAATACAGATATTTTTTCCGAAATTCGCCATAACCTACGTATATGACCGGAATTCCTACATAATCTCTTAAGGATTTTGTCTGATGATGCATTTATTTACCTTTTTTACATCTCCGCTAACTTATTTACTACGACTGCTATGGTCTGTTAACCATTCTTCTGGGGTGAGCTATGTTTCTGTTGTGTTGCGTTGTTGCGAAATGTGACCTGATTGTACTTCCGAGAGTCAAACTTAGTTCTCGGACTTGACCCCCCTGTCGTTACCACTAGTTATAACCTCGAGTCATCACAATGTTGTAACACCGATCAGTCCGACTTCAATATCCGGCCATAAATCCTGCGTCCTATTAGGGTATCCAGAAAAGGCATAATTGAGGGGATATGTCAGCACTTGGGGAGATACAGGACTGACGTCTCCGATCCAATACTCCCAGACCCAACTAATTCTCCGTGGAAACTGGCTCCTAGAAACAGCAGTCAGTCTTCGCGAAGCTAACGAGTTCTTCACAGCTCTCACTGGGCGCAAATCTTGCTTTTTAGTTCTCAAACCGGACTAAATACTAGAAAACCATGGAATTCCTCTTACCATGAGACCAGAGCCTCTTGGATGGATTCGACCACATGCTGCTCCGAGTCTTTTGTTCTTTTTCATTAGATCCACTAACAAATTCACGCAATGCGGAGTAAAGTCGACATCACCATCCAGCGTCAGAATGAACGTATTTTCAGAGATCACCTCCTGAAATCACCTTGGATGAAACCTGGCGCAAAGAGAAATTCTAGCTTTAATCGTGAAAATCCGGTTCATATCATATCATCCAAGAAAATTTAGTCATTACCTTTCTAGCCTGTTCATCGACCTTCATCATGAGTCTGTAGCCGAGTAAATAGTACAGGTACATCACCTGTGATAAGAAAAATCATTATTAGCCCGAGTTAATGCCATTGCTTCTCACCTGGCTCCATCTTTTCCTATGTCGAATCTTATTTTTATCTTTAAGATGAACAGTCAGCTTGTTCTTCCCGGGAAGAATGTACTGTAATCGGCCTCCATACGGTGTAGTGATCTTCTTCGGTGGTTTCAGTCTCATTTGGGTTTGATGGACAGCGCTGAAGAAAGCCTTTAGGGAAAATACGAAAATCAAAAAAGGGCATGGCGTATCCACCTGGCTGCTTGATCGACAACTTCGACAAGCTGTTTCACGAATTTGTTGATAACTGGATTGCCGTATTCATCGGTGTCAAAGGCGTCGTCGAAAAAGATGTGCGCCTCGAACTCATAGTAATCCGGATCAATTACCTGTAACGGAGATGTCATGGTATTTATTATCCAGCGTAGGTCCGATTTGGGTCATCTCTTGGCCTAACCTACCATACCCTATCAACGAAGCACGAACCTTCAAGTATTTCTGAGCATTTCGTCGAGCACATTGGTCTTCGTCCATTCGGAAGATACTTTTCAACATACATGTCATCTCGTGGGTGGTTTCATGCCACATTGTAGCACATGCATAGATTTTTGTGATCGCATCTGCACTACTGGCCGAATCTCTGCAGTATGTTTACATTTGTGACAGTTGTCCCACATGCGGCGAACGCCCCGCCCACTCACCTAATCAGTCCGTTTTCCAATTTACTGCTGCTTAGACTGCACACAGACGGTGGTGGTTTGCTGACATGTCCCATACCAGGTATAGTTTCGTAGGTTTGTGAGTTTTCTTCCTGATCGAATTCAAGATCCTATAAAAAGAAATGTTAGACGAGATTATTGATCTGTTTTATCGATTTGTTCAACCTCTGGACGGATTTTTGCTTTGTCGTCTCTTCTACGATTGAATGCCAACGATTGATCGACGAATGCACCAACGTAATAAGGAAGGATGAAAAGTCTGAAACAGACAGAAGCTCCGCTTGGATCGGAGCGAAACTTGTTTGCTTTTCTACCAATATTTTAGTTCTTCAAAAAATCGCCCACAGCGCCCTGGACAACCTACTTCTCACTTCTGGCAAGTCGCTCATGTTTTGGAGTCCATAAATGGACGGTGATCCAACATTGACTTATGAACCAACTCAACCAAATCCATGTTTGAGGTGATGAGAGGAAGACGGTGAACGAGGAATATGATGAGAAACATTTCCAAAATAACTCCTGAAAAAACTTTTCAGTTACTGTAGTTGGAAAGCCTTCTATAACTACTTATGGACATTTTTCCATCATCGATTTGGTCAAATATGATGCCATTTTACAGGAGGTATGCTGATCCTTAGACCGGAACGATGTAGGGTCAGCTGGATACACTATTCAAGCGAAGCACCATGAACGAGGCCCAGCTAGATCTCACCCAAACTGGGGGGTCCTTTCAGACGGTCTTTTGTGCACCAATCACATACAATCCTTTGAAAGTACTTAGTGGTTCGTCCCCGACTGGTCTGGGAGTTCACAGCAGATTGCGTCCCGGGTAATGGTTGTTCAATGCTAAACGATTTATCCTTCACCATTTTGGCGGATTCCCTGCAATTCCATCAGCTTTAAGCTTGAACCAACTGGAAGGTAAGGTACAGGATCCACCCGCCGCGTCTACCCATTGTAAAAAAAACATTTTTTCAAAAAAGTAACTGTAGAACCTTCGTAAGAGTGCTGGTCATATGGCATGAATCGACGGATCGAAATGTGCATGTGGTCGATAGAACGAACACCGTGGTTGGTACTGCCAGAGCCATGGGCAAAGCAAAACCCAATCGTTGCATCATCACCTGGAAATAAAGCCAGGCTTCGGAGGAGAGCGGACAATTCCATGGAAACTTTTTGAATGGTACATACCTTACAGGCGAATTTACTGCTGTGATAGCACAGAAAAACAGCTGACACTTGAACAAGGGCGATCCATAGAGCATCATAGGGTGATGTGAACTGGTTTAGTTCAACGTAATTGTCATAGACCTGAAAAGTAGGGGGAAATTCAAGGGAGAATAAATGCTTCGGAGGAAATCCAAGAGGAAATCACTGAGGTAATTACTTTGGGAAGGTTGAAAAACTTTTTTTCGGTGAATAAAATCAAATTCAAGTTCGTAGAAGTCAAGACTCACATTGTATGCCGATGGCAGGTCGTCATCTTCATCTATAGCTGCTGCTTGTCGCCTCCATCGAGCGCGATAGTCTCCAGTGTCGACTTCTATGGCACGTCCCTACAAAATACCCATAAAAATGGGTTAGTAGGAATTCGATTGAAGAATTTTGATCTTGGAACCATGACCCATGCTGAATGGGCCATAAATTCGAAAAAAGAACCTTGGAACTTACCTCACTGATGATGATTGGCTTTTTTGTTGGCGGATAAGAAGGTAGATCGTCATAATCTGAAGTCGAATACATACAAAAATAAATAAAATGTAAGGGACAGAAAGCAAGTGTTCACCGGCTCCTCCGTATTTGCTCATCCTTGCAAGAAATTTGTCGATTTGAGTTTGATTTAGATTATGACCAGTAATGGTAATTAATTTCTCCCCAAATGGATCTCGCTGGAGTAAATCGTTCAGCTGCATACTGAAGGGAAAAGAATTATTCAAATATTCATAGGAAAAATAGATTTGATGAGCCGGAATACGGTAGACGGAACGTATCAAGCTCTAGGAGCCACACTCTGCGAGTTACAAAAGGATAAGGCTCCCCAATATGACCGAATGAAATATATCCACAGATCCAATCAAAAAGAGGCATCATCAACCAGGACTTCCCAACAATGCTCACTTCTCAGAGCTGATCCCCTTCTTCTGTTTCCAAAATGAGGAAATCAATTATGCACTCAAAAAGTTCGGTAGTTGGGTGAATGTCAAGACTCGGAATTCAAACACCTAGACAAAAATTTCAATAACCAAAGTTTAAGAGCTTTCTGAAAGGTAAAAAGTATCTAAACGAGGATTCCAATACCAGTAGACAAAAAATATGTACTACGAGTACCCATATCTGGTTTGTTTACTTACCGTGATGACATGAAAGTGATCATACAAAGCAGATAGATACAGATTTTCCATAGTGACACTACTGCATAAGTCTTTGATCGTCTTTCAGAAAGACGAGACGCGAATCTGAAACCGACTGTAATTTATCAGAGCACCATTGATTCCGACGTTAATATCTCTTTGAATTACTGATCCCTAATTCTCGTCCTTCCCGAAGTAGGGTAAACCTGTAGGTCGGTATATTAAGGTTGACCTTAAAGCTATAGGGGTTGAAGTGACACAAGGAGCAGCTAGGCAAAGCTTCTGAGGAAATAGGCTGTAAGGTTCCGTAAGGAGCACGCCATACTGCAGCTCGAAAATTCCAGACCTTGTTATGTAGCCAAAGAAATTGTTAATTAATTTATTTACTTGTTTTTATTTATTTACACACTCTGAGAGTGCACCACAAAAGGTAGTCATCAGGAAATAGAAAAAAGGCTAGTCCAAAACAAACTGAATCACATAATTTTTGGTACTTTTGGTTGAATATTGGCCTTCGGCTCAGGCGCCACCTTCTCCGCCCTCTTCTCCTTTCTGCCAATCGAAAATTTAAAATTGAAGGTATTCCCTGCTCAGCCTTACTTATACCCGTAGCTTTTCAAAGCAAGTGTTTCTATCAAGATAGGGCCTTTCCGAAAAGGAAATAATAAAATGGGGTGGCAAGAAGATATCAAGCATGATTCTGTTGGAAAAATTCCACTTGGACTTGCCAGAGGACCTAACTTACAAGTGTTATTCCATATACCAAAAGTTCCTGAGTCACTTGAAAGTTGTAGAATTTTCTTTCACTACGCAAACTTGTCGAGCTTCCCGGTAAACTTGGTATTTGCATTCAAACAGGTGTCACAAACCTGGCCAAAGCTCGAATAGGTGGAAAAACGGAGTCGTTGTGAACAAAATTTTGCCACCAAGCCAATGAGATAAACACCAAACACCATGGAATAGCGACGGAATGTTTTTCAAGACTAGGAATAAACATCTGAACAGAAAAAGTGTCAAAACAAGGTTGAAAAAGAAGTTTGAAGGGCCGAGAGAGTACCGGAAATGCCCAGAATCCGGAACTTTGAGCTGCTATGGCGACAATGTCAATGATGACAAGAATGAGAGCGATTTTGCTTGGGCGACGACTCAACAGTGAAAGAATCGCCGGTATAAAGCACATTCCACTGGTCAGCTGGGTAGCTAAAAAATGATAGTACCAGGAGGAGAAATGAAGAGGAAAAAGAAGCTTTTGACCTGTCACGGCATCCAAATCGGGAAAGATACGAAATACAAGAATTCCTACACCAATCGCATGAAGTGTTTCAATAAAGAAGACCTGGAAATTTTTTTTTCGAGAAATTCAGTGAAAAATGTAAGGAGAATCATTTGGTGTGTTCGTGGGTCACGTTCGCGAGCGGTCGCGGCGCGATCGCATTTCTAGTATGTGGTGGCAAACAAAAGAGCTTATTTTGCTTATTTTCAGAGGATAGTTCGTCATCGATTGAAGACAAGTGGTGGTCAAAAATGGATCCACAGTTCAATAGACTCTGTGATGATTTTGTTGGGGAAGAAGTTCCCATTTTAGAGCCTTGTGGGCTGCCTACAAATGCCTTCCAAGTCTGCACAGATGATCAGCCATATTGTGTGGTGTTCAAGAAAATGATCGATAATTGAAAATTTAAAAAATTAAGCGAAAATAGCCTCACCGTAGCAAACTGTATTAATGTTGGTCGTTTGACATTTTTAAATAAAGTTCGATGTAGTGATCGTATAAAACAGAATGCTTCCGGAGCGGAAAGGGCGATGAACGTCGCCCAAACCCACTTGACTACTAGTCGATTTGTAATGTGTACGGTATTCAACTGTGATTCTGAAACAGGTAGAGGATAGATACTGTATGGCTACCATACCCCTCAAAATGGCATCGTACCTGGTATTTTATCCCTACAAATGGTCATATTCATACCACCCCAACCAATTGCTGATGTCATTAGGAGGAAAGAGCTCTGAAAGTGCTCCATAATAGGGTGATGGTGATTTCCAGAGATAAGAAAGACTTGCATACTTTGGCGACAACTGCTGAACCGAGGGTTAATATAAATAATACTACAAATGTGCATAGTTTGAGGACTTGGAGACTGGCTTCGTGCCAAAAACCTGAAAAATTAACGATGAAAATTCGACCGCAAATGGAAGCGCAGGAAACAAATGAAAATGTGAAGGCAACCTCCTAGAGAGCCTTTGTTAGGATTCCGAGTTCCCTACGTTTTCAACTCTGAATCTTCGTCAGAGCGCAGGAGAGCAGAGATAACTTACTGGTATGACTTTAAATGGTGCCGAAAGAAACATTATGAACCAGGGATTGAAGCCAAATTTGCTCAGTTTTGGGATTCTGTTCGGGCGATGTCAAGGTCGCAAAATGTCTCCAAGATTCCCATGGTCATTGGGCCAAGATAAGCGGAAATCGGAAAACGGAACTGTAACCAAATGCACCAATCAGTTATTTTGAGATCATGCCTATTACTCCCTTCATGGGCACTATCCTAGCGTACCGTAGTTCTCGTAAAGCGCCCTACGAAACAACCCAATTCCAACTTGCCGCTGACACTTTTCGTGTACTTCAGAAAACAATCTAAAAACGTTCAAGGATTTCCCACTCGTCCTTCTTCGAAAAAAACCGCATCCGGACCGGAAAGTTTCATCATGGGTCCGGAAACCGTCGTCGGTGAGTTGTTGGGCGTCGTCTCGAAAAGCAAATGTCTTTTTCGAGTGCTGCACCAATCGATTGCCGAATGTCAACAGTAGCAAGATTGACCGCTTCTGTATTGGATCCCCGCTCGATTAAGCTTCAGGAGGTATGGAACCGGTTAGTTTACATAAGCTGATTTCACTTCGTATAGACGTCCTTACCGTAACCAATTTTGTCGGGTTTCGGTGGTAACAGTCGGAAGATGTCCCATGCTTTTTGATCGGCAACGGTCCTAAACAATATGAGTAAGCAGTTGGATAAACAATACGACAACAATGACGCTACAAGCTGAGCTCAGTTTGAGTCCTTTGTGGTGTTAGCAAAGGGTTGAAGTCGTCAGTTCGAGACGAGGGGCATAATCTGCACTGACAACAATGTTCTACGAACTTGAGTGCAAGACGCATAGGGTGTGAACGTTTCTCGACAATCGACTTAACCCGATCAGCTGCCCCCGACCGAACTTAGGCGAAGCCCACCAAAGACTGGTCTTTTGGCTGGGACCGAGCGGAGTAATAGTTAAAGGACGAATGTTTCGAATTAGAGCAATGGCAATCCATCAAAAAAAAAATCGTCTGACGTCATTTATCTGTGAAAATGTAGTTGGGGAAGCGGGAAGGTGGGTGGGGGCTTGGG